ATAAAAAATATAAATTTTAATTTTAATTTAATTAATTAATCAATTAAAATTATTTATACAATAGTATTATTAAAATAAATATCAATTTTTATAATTTTTATATAAATTTATTATAAAAAATACGTTTATTATTAATATTTTTTTTTTACAATAAAAAATTTTAAGTTAAGTAAGTTAATATCTATTTCTTAGAAAACTCAAACTCATGATTGCGTTCCACCTACCCAAATGGGCAGGGGTATTGCAAATACATTTATTATATTGTTAACATATAATTTAACTACATAAGTTAGATAAATTTTTAAAAAAATTGTTCTAACTTCAGAAGGTGGAACGGCAAAACGCTCTTTGAAATGCAATAGAAGGATAACTTTTTTAATTTGGCCTTTCTTACTATCGAATCCTGCAGGCTACAAACAAAAGATCGATCTGAATACCACACACCGACACACACTTGAATCAACAGCATAACTAATTAAAGCCCAAGACTGCTGCAAGATTTAAAATCAGAAAAACCAAGCTGAGCTCCGAAAATTAATAAACACAAAACATTAGCTAGATCGAAGCCATGACCTCAAAAAAGTTAACTGTTCAGCAGTCTCTCTCTATAATAACAAATGCTGAAATAATAGCGAACTCAAACAGATAGATGAATTTTGGCACAAAAAAAAAGAGAGAGAGAGATGGAATAAAACCTCTTTCCTCGGGCATGACCATGTCCAGAGGGTCAAATTCGTGGCGCCTGGGGATGTCATGATAGACTGGGACTTTCCGCATACCGAATAACTCCTTCCAAGCTTCTCTGGCTGACTCTTTGTTCTTTATTAGATCAAACGCCTTTGCTCCACATGAAATCTTAATGGCATGTAGAGCTAAAGCATTCTTTTTAGTCCACACCATCTCATTTGTTTCTTCAGTCGTCGGTCTTGGTTCAACAACATCCCAAACATCTTGAGCCACTAAGTAGTGTTTTATTAAAATGCTCCACCTTTCATAATTATCTTTTTTAAGAACTTCTGGTACTATAGTGCTCGGATGTAGAGTAGCTATTTCCATGTTAGCCTATGAAATATTTCACCATGCATAAAACTAATTAACTTCGGCACTATTTTCTTTTTGCAGAAGAATTTCAAATTACCAAAAAAATTGACAATAAGCAGCATAGCATACGTGATGATAGAAGAACAGATGCCAACACATGTAAACGTGCTCTCAATCTGGTTAACGAAAAGAAGTTGGTTAACTATAACATCCCTCATCCTACAATGTTGTTTATATTTTTGCTATTACTATATTGTCATTAAAATTGTAAAAACAAAATTCAGTGATAAAATCATATATCCCACAACAATATGTTCAGTTCAAATAATAAATTTGAGAATAATAAAAATACTAAAATATTATTCAAATTAAATAATATGAGAAGTCAGAAAAAAAGGTTAAATTTCAAGTAATTTACCTCATAAAAAAAGAAGCTAACTCTGCAAAAAATTTTAAAAAAAATAAAAACATTATTATACACAGGATCCCTACATGCTATTAAAAAAAAATAATAATAATAATAATTATTATTATTATTATTATTAAAATTAAAAAAGAAGCCAATCTTCTCAAACTCCCTTAAATATTCTTCTACTGAACCAGTCTCTACTGAACCAGTCTGAGTTACATTTTTCCATTGTATCATAGGATCCAACATGCTATAATTAATCACCAAATCTCAAACTCATATAAAAAGTATACTCCTTCCAACAAAGGAACCCATTATGAATCTGACAGCAAATATGGCAGCAATTTAGTTGCAAATATGATGGAAATAGAGCTGTCAAATGGCCGAAAAAATGTGCAGCAAGCTAAGCTGCAAATGTTGATGAAATGAAGCTGTAATGAACAGCAAATGAAATGAAGCTGCAATGGACAGCAAATGAAATGCAAATTCAAATGAAATGAAGGCTGCAAAATCACAGCAAGCATGCAGCAAAAGTCTTGTCTTTTACTTGTTTTAGATGTACTTTTATTATTGCTTTTTAACGTAGAAAAGCTGCTTGGACGAAAAAGGAAAAAAGGAAAATTTTGAATTGTTTTTAGATTGTTTTCTGCTATATAAAGCAGAGATTATTAATGAGAAGATCCGAGTTGGAGGGTTATACTCCTATGACCTATCCAGTCTCGTTTATGTTCTACTCTTCATCTTCCTCCTGATTTTCTCTCTATTGCCACGTTTATTGGTGGTTTAAAGGAGGAGTAACAGCATTTTGTTGTTTGTCAACACCGTAAATCTGTTGTAGAAGCCTTTTCCTATGTTAAACATCAAGAAGCTACTGCAAAATCTATCCTAAAGAAAACCAAATTCCAAAGTTCACAGGCCTATACCAGAACTCTTCCACCTTTAGTACCTTTGCCTCCAAATGCTCAGAAGCTTATTTCCAATCCATACAACTCAATTAAAATACCACCATTCACTCGCCAAAATGGTCCCTTTTTCTCATTAGCACCTAAAAACCTACCCAAAACCAAGGGAACCAAAGCTTATTTATCATTTTTTTTTTTTTAACCTTATCTTATTTATTTATTTCAATTAGTCATCTTATTATCAGAAGTCTCTCTTTGTCTATTTTTCAAGTGTAGTATAAGTATAAATTATTATCAAATTCCTAATTAAAAAAAAAATAAAACAGTTATTTGAAACAAATAGAGTATTATCAACAAATTAGTGTTATGAACAAATTTTTTCAAAAAACAAAACTGATATGTTCTTTTTCTGGTATGAGGTAAGTAAGAAAAGGATAAATTCTGTTATAAAGAAAAAGAACAAACAATTGTGTTCTTTTAAGGACGGGATAAATTCTGTCCTAAAGACAAGGAAAGAATAGAAAACAGAATTGGGTATCTTGCACTCAGATTTCCTTAATGCTGACAAGGAATTGGAATTGTGAAAATGATGTGTATTGCTAATGGTTGATTTGTGTGGTAGATTGATTGCTGAAATTTTGGGGAATGTCATTTTTTGGTCTACTCAGTGGTTGTTTGCGTGGAAATTAAAGGTTTTATATTTAGTTTGTGGATTTAAGTTGATGAGTTCAGCTTTGCGGGGAACCAAAGCTTTATCGAAAGCAGAAGTAGACAACAAGAAACAAAAGGACTTTCTACCTTCTCTTTTAATCTGTATCACTTTCTTCCTCTTAACTTTCTTTTTCTGCAATTTCTCTTCTTTCTCATCCTGATTCTATCTCTATTTCTACCTTCTCTTCTGTATCAAAATCAAAGGGGAAAACAAAAATTAGGTGGGAAAACTAACCGTGGACGGTGTGCCAATTTCCAGGCAAGGTGCCGATGTTGTGATGTGGAGTCGGTGGAGTTTGGTTTTGGAGCACAGATCTACAAGAAGAACAGGGAATAGGCACTGTAAATCAAGGAAAACCAAACAAAGAGCATCAAAATCTACCGAGAAAGCTGCAAAATTACCGTCACTGGCGTGGGGACTTAGAGAGCAGGACGTGCGCCGGTCAGCTACTCAGTGCAGCACGAACGGCGAAAGCTAACCTCGCCGGAGAAAAGAGGAAAAACAGAAGAAGATAGGGAAAGCGAGGAAAAGTGGGGAATAATGAACAACGACAGCCAAAGTTGTCGGTTATGCCCAAAATCCACGACAATTCCGTCGAATATGTTGAAGACATAACCTCAACAAGCTGTCCATTTATAATCGCCAGAAAAATGATCTATCATGATCAGTCCACTACCCCATAAATTTTGGGTCTGTTGGGTGCAGAGCTCACAAGTGATTCATTTTTTTATATTATTTGTCTTCGTAAGTTTAAAATTTTTAAAAAAACATTTATATTTTTAAATTTTTTTTAATTTTAAAAAACTTTTAAATAATAAAAATTAAAAAA